ATTCCATGCGGCCCCAGCTGCTCAAGTGCACTGCTCTGCATGCAGCGCAAGTTGCCTGCGCCTACATTCGCGAAAAGGACTCGGTGTTGCTAAAGGGCCCATATTTTTTTCGCATTTAAGCCTGCCCAGAAATTTGGTATGTATCTCCGACCACTCAAACTCTTTGAAAGCAGGTGCTTCGAGTCTTGCAAGCTCTGCCGTGGAGCCTTGCTATCGGAGACATCGAGGAGAACCTGGAAGGTCTCTTACAGGAGGCAGACGTGCATGACTTGACAGCGCACAAAATTTTGCAGCTTCTGCGTTTGGGGTGGAACCGACAGCAAATCAAAGATGCCATCATGCTCTTCCGAGATGTCCATTGGTCCACTCTTGGGGTAGAGCAAGCGCATGGCTCTGCAGCTGTTATGCACAGGCATCATACCTTCTCGACAGACATGCTTGCAGCAAGAAGTTTTTTGCACCAGTGCCGGCATCTAGCTGCCAACACTCCCGTTTGCCAGGATGTGACCCGAAAGGACTTGCAAGTGCAGAAGCTTGAAAGAAAGGGATCTGGCCTCATGTCTGGCAGACACCTGTTCTTGCAGTGGCTCATGAAAGAGGTGAAGCAAGGCCTTCCTCAGGGCGCTCGAATGTCTGTTGATCTTCGGAAGGAAGTGATGCGGCAGCATGCAGGTGCTTACGCTGCCTTGTCCCCGCAAGAGCAAGCGTACTTTCAGCAACGCTCACAGGCTGAGAATGAAAGGAAGCGCCGCTCTCACGAGGAAGATCTGCAGCATCTGAGAGATGCCCTCCGTTTGGCTCGAGCCCGAGCAACGCAAGAGCTGGACGACGCTGGTCTCATGCATGCAGCTGCCAACTTGCGCTTTGTAGCCTCCGACTGGCATGCTCTTGCTACCCTGGCAGCCGACGAGGGTGTCACATGGCCTTTGGTGCAGGAGCTTCGACGGTGCGCCATGGCTGCTCCTTCCGCCCCTCCTGTCGATGTGCAGAGCTCTCTTGCAGCTGTTCCTGTCATGGCCCAGGCAGAGCAGCTGCCCGAACGGCCTGAGTGGTTGCCTGTGCTTTGCTGGAATCGGGAGCAATTCCGAGGAGCAGTCCTTTTAACATCGACGGACACAGATAGCCAAGCTTTCTACTTCCTCTACGCAACACAGAGCCCGCTCAAGGCGTTTTTCTTGGATTTGCGTGTGTCTGCAAAAGAGCTGCCTAGCCTTGCGAACCTTTCGATGGAGAGTGCTTGGGCAGCTTGGAATGAGTCTTGCGACATTTCCTTCACAATGAAACTAAACGTCTCTGTGTCGCATGAAGAGTTCGCAGGGACAAAAAGCAAGGACTTGCTGGTTCTGGAGCACGTGACCTTGCAATCCGCCACCACTGCCCAAGGATATGGTCGCCCTGTGCCTTTGGATGAATTTCTGCCTCTCGCAAGTCGCCGCTCGGGGAGCGCACGGTCTGCCGCGGCAGGCCCAAGGGCTCCAAGGCATGTGCCGTCATCCTTGCTGGAGGAGCATGCGTGGGCTGCACAGTACATCAACAAACCGCAGACGGCAGAGGCTTCGACGGCAGATGTCACCGCGGCATGCCCAGAAGACACTGCAGAAGAAGCTAGTGCTTTTGAAGATGCTTGGTTGTCTCTCGAGGAGGCTCGGACATGTTGGCGTCAGGAGCCACCGCCCTTGCAAGCTCAGCATTTTGTCACTTGCCTCCGCTCTGGTGATTGGACTGCGGCCAACCGCTTCGTGAACGAAAGTGACCGGATCATCGCACAAGCCATGGCTGGCCCTCCGAGGACTTGGTGCAAGAGGTATGGCCTGAACACCATGGCATCGTTTTCGTTTTCACGTTACACCGAGACAGGATGCCATACCCTGGCGCTTGAGTGGTGCCGCCGGTTGCAGTTCTTTTTTGACATTTGGAGACAGCAAGACGATCCCACATATGTTTATTCCGACTCTGATCTCCAAGCATACTCAGAGACGGAAGAGTGGAAGACTTTTTTGGCATCGATTCGTGCCAACCCAGAGACCAACAGAAGGGTCGAGGCTATCCGGTGTCTCCTCCCGACAAATCCTAGCTCGTAGTGTGCACTTCCACTCCGCGCAGAGGCTGCTTCCCAAACCAAAAAAATCAGCGCCGACAGACTGTGACAGCTTGCCCTTGTACTTTCCCTTCCACCTGAGCCCTTAATCAGTAGATTAGTTTCCAATTAAAACCCTGGCCCGCGACATTTGTGGCGCTGGTCTCCCCCATGGTCCCCTTAACACCCGTGCCGAAGACTGTAGTGGGATGATGTTTTTGCGCTGCTTCGGCCGCGTTCTCCGGCGCCTGCAGGGGCGGGGTTTATGGGCGCAGTTCACGGGCGCGTTTACGGGCGCGGTTTAACGGCGCCGTTTACGGGCGCAGTTTATGGGCGCCGTTTACGGGCGCAGTTTATGGGCGCCGTTTAAGGGCGCATTTCCCGGCCGCAACAGGCTTGCAGTGGAAACTCTAAGCTTCAGTCGGCTGCACTCCACAGACAGGGAATCTCCTCACGCCGCTCTGTCAGACGTTTTGCAGTATGATGTACGTGTGATTTTTTTCAAATGCTGTCCTGGCATGTTTGGCCCGAGTGTAGCTGGCGATGTGTAGCAATAGGCTTCGTGTCGTCTAGGACTGCTGCTGCACTCAATCGTTGCTTCGCCATAAGGGTCTGTTAGCAAGGATAATCAACCGGATGCACATCACGGCAAGTTCGAAGTGAGGCCGACCCCGCAGTATGCTGCGGAGGAAATCTCGTCCTGGGAGTTCTGGCCACCTTGCTTCCATGAACTTTCCTAAACTCCGCAGGAAGCTCGGTGTGCCGGGAAGCTGGCGGGGCCCCCCAGGAAACACAAAGCAACAACAACAAAGTGCTCTGGGAGTTCTGGCCGCCGGGATTGCCTGACTGATTCTTCTTAGCAAACCCGGCGTGCTGGGAAGCTGGCAGGGCCCCCCAGAAGCAGGAATGGGGCACATACTGTCAAAGACAGTGCCTCACATTCCCTCCACACATCAGTCCAGGGGGCAGCTTTCTGTTCGTTATGGCTTTGGGAACGACATGGGCAGGGCTCATGAAACTCGGTCAGCACATGCCTCTGTAAAGCTGTACTCGTCAGAAACTCGGCCACTCCGCGGGCACAGTGGAATACAATAACAATTTTGAGCCTTTGAACAGCTCCGGACAACCCGCGACAGTATCTTCAGTAGGCGCCGCCCTGCTGCAAGTCTCTCGGGCTACCGCTCCATTTTTTCGGGTTTAGTTAGCATATGGGGTTTAGGATAAGGTTGCTGAAACAAATTTCTTCTTTTATTGGATGCACTCTTTGTCGTGCGGTTTCTTATGCAGCCTTCTTGTTGGGGCACTTTGGGGTCAATAGACTCGAAGCACAAACCAGTCGTTGTGCGAACTCGGTTCTGGGAGTTCTGGCCACCGGGCTTCCACGACCTTTCCTAAACTCCTGCAGGAAGCTCGGTGTGCCGGGAAGCTGGCGGGGCCCCCCAGGAACCACAAAGCAACAACAACAAAGTGCTCTGGGAGTTCTGGCCGCCGGGATTGCCTGACTGATTTTTCTTAGCAAACCCGGCGTGCTGGGAAGCTGGCAGGGCCCCCCAGAAGCAGGAATGGGGCACATACTGTCAAGGACAGTGCCTCACATTCCCTCCACACATCAGTCAAAGGGGGAAGCTTTCTGTTCGTTATGGCTTTGGGAACGACATGGGCAGGGCTCATGAAACTCGGTCAGCACATGCCTCTGTAAAGCTGTACTCGTCAGAAACTCGGCCACTCCGCTGGCACAGCGGAATACAGTAACAATTTTGAGCCTTTGAACAGCTCCGACAAACAGTAACAGTATCTTCAATAAAGCGCCACCCTGCTGCAAGTCTCTCGGCCTACCGCTCCAGTTTTTTCGGGTTTAGTTTAGCTATGTGGGGTTTAGGATAGGGTTGCTGAAACAGACTTCTTCTTTTTATTTGATGCACGCTTTGTCGTGCGGTTTCTTGTGCAGCTTTCGTTTTGGCCGCTTTGGGCCAATAGCTTCGGACCAAAAACATGCCCTTGTGCGAACTCGGTTCTGGGAGTTCTGGCCACTGGGCTTCCGTGAGTGCGTGCTTCAGGAAGCTCAGTGTGCCGGGAAGCTGGCAGGGCCCCCCAGACAACAGCACGACATTCTTGACAGCTCTGGGAGTTCTGGTCGTCGGGATTGCATGACCATTTTTTCGTAGCAATCCCGGCGTGCTGGGAAGCTGGCAGGGCCCCCCAGAGGAGAAAAGATGACCGTGCATCAACCAGAGAGTAGCCTAGAGAGCAACAATATTTCTTTAGGTCTTTTGATATAAATTGCATGAAGCGGAAGCCTTCGTCGAAGTGTGGCTGTCGTGGGATGGAGTGCAGCTGCCGTCTTGTGTACCTTGTGGCATTTGTGACATTATCATGGAAGGTCCCCTCGTAGTCTTCCGGCCCGAAGTCTTTAGGAGCTTCTTCTACGCAGCCATACCCCCGAAAAAGCGTTCGACTGCTGGTGCAGCAGCCAGCACGAAGAAACAGAAGGCCGAAGCCAGTGCAAAAGCTGCGGTAGCAAAGAAGGATGCGCCGCTCATGGAGGCACAGGAAGCATTGCAGCAGGAGCCAGCTGCAGCTTCTAGAGTTCTCAAGAGACGCAACACGAACGATGAAGTGGAAAGAAAGATACAGAGCCATTTCCCGGGCATGACACCTACGCAAATGGAGTCCAAAAA